CTTGACCAATTGATTGTAAGACAGGTCTAACCACGTCAGACTCTGAAACGAGAATTGGATCTGCGATCTTCTGATTTTATGGTTGTCATCCTACCCTAACTGGATCCGTAATTTATTTAGATTAGATTATTAACATTGATGCTTTATTTGAAAGTAATGCAAAATTCGAATGCTATTTAATACTAGATTTATGGAACCCGTCAAAATGACGGGTTACTAATTTTTTGATTTGCGATTATTCCTTGACATAAGCTTGACATAACCTTGAGATAACCTTGACCAATTGATTGTAAGACAGGTCTAACCACGTCAGACTCTGAAACGAGAATCGGATCTGCGATCTTCTGATTTTATGGTTGTCATCTTACCTTAACTAGATCCGTAATTTATTTAGATTAGATTATTAATATTGATGCTTTATTTGAAAGTAATGTAAAATTCGAATACTATTTAACACTAGATTTACGGAACCCGTCAAAATGACGGATCACTAATTTTTTCATTTACGATTATTCATATCGTAAAGATAGATTTATGAGTTATTTATTCGATTTATATGTTACTTACGGCAAATGTTAAGATAACAAAATCAGAATAAACGTCTTATTGTTACTTTTATAAACTAACATAAAACAGCTGTTTTTTGTGCTCTGCAAATCTAGTGTCAAGTACAGTAATTTCTCCCGGAGATGCCGAATTTCGGATTGATGTGAATTTCTCTATACTAGTCCCACATCCATGTAATTTATTGCTACGTCGATGCTAAGGGTCGACGGAGTCAGTCAAGCGTATAATACAGCGTCATTTGGCCTCCGAATTGCCTTCGAATCGTGGCAAAAAGTTAGAAATAATGAAGTTAAGCATCGTTTTTATTCTAGCATCACTATGTGTTCGTATTAGGTCTACCGAAAAGTTCTGTCCGATAGTGTCACTTCAAGTTTCAATCCATATGCACATGTTGATTTGAGACGTATATGACTATCTCTCTTTATCATTGCATTTACACACATGTACTCTCCTAAATAAACTGAAACAAAGATGTCTCGTGTCATTATTAAGCGAGACGCGACCGTGAAAACATGGCTACCGATGATAATGCCAGACCACATGCTGCTTTGGCGACTCGTCGGAAAATCGCAGAGCTAGGCTGGGAAATTCTGTCGCATCCACCGTACTCCCCAGACCTAGCACCCTCCGATCATCACTTGTTTCTCTCTTTGCAAAACTTTTTACACGAAAAAAATTCAAAACTGAAGCTGATGTCAACCAAGCGCTAGTTGAGTTCTTCGCCTCTAAAAGTAAATCATTTTTTAAAAATGGCATTTACAAGTTGCCATCACGCTGGCAAGAAGTCATAAGTAACGATGGAAAGTATATTCTACAATAAATATTATTAAATGTATGAAAATTGTGTTATATATCAATTCAAAAACGGACAGAACTTTCCGGTAGACCTAATACATAGGTGGGACACATATGTCCCGATTGACTCCGAAGAATTAAAAGGTTCAAGATCCGTTTCAAGGACCGTTATTTTATGTTCACCGTTCGCGTAACAGAAAGTACTAAAAATTGCTCGAGCTAACTATTCTCGCAGAAACGATCATTTTTTTCACTTTGCTCGCGTAGTAAGTATATTCTACAATAAATATTATTAAATGTATGAAAATTGTGTTACATTTCAATTCAAAAACGGACAGAACTTTCCGGTAGACCTAATATTAATGTACACCGGTATGCTGGCCGCTGCCTTTTTTTTGCCGACTGCCACGAGTCTCTATAAAAACGAGCCGCGGGGCTCGAAAAATCGCGACTTAGTATTCGCGGACATCTCTGGGAGAAATTATTGCGGCCGTAACGAGATAGTACTGTGGGAGACTTACTCGCAGTCTGAATATAGCATCCGTGGTATGAACCCCGGCCAAAGTATTCCAAGACATATCCAGCATAGACAGACTGGCAGCAGAAGAGATCGACATGGACTTGATAGGCAGTCTCATGAACTGATTATGCGAAAGGTCCAAACTCTCTATGTTTGCGTCGGAGAATATGTTATCCGGAAGCGTTCTCAGTTTATTATGCGATAGATCGACGATTCTTAGTTTCTTCAGAGGCCTGAGCGCTTCCGAGGGGATCTCCATGATATTGTTCCACGATAATCTCAATACTTGAATGTTTTTCGTATTTCTGAAACAGTCGAAATCGATTTCGATCAGCTCGTTGTGGCTCAGATCGAGCCACTGCAGATGCGGCATGTTCCCGAAGATGCCTTGCGTGACGTTCATCAGTTGGTTGTGGGACAGATAGAGATGCGTCAGCGAGTATTCCACAGGCTTGAAATAATACTTCATTATGTCCGAGATGTTGTTGTAGCTGAAATCAAGGACCTTGATGTTCGATTGTATCGAGCCGCCGACTGTAATCAGATGAAGGGATAATAAAATCGTTAGTGTCACTTTGATGTAGCGCAGTTTCTGTTGAAGGACTTATTCACATTATAGGATTACTATCTCGAACCTTAACCCTAGAAAGATAACCATATGACAACGTACGTAAAAGATAACCATACGCTTCAGAGGCGCATGCTTTTCTAAGGCGTCAATTTTATACTAACAATGGATATTTATTTCAGTTAATCTAGTCATTTTAAAGGTTTGGCATTATTGTAAAAATAAAATGCATTTATATTATATTTTTTTATATTTTAAGTAATTTTAAACTTAAATCACTAGACCTCTATGAAAAATTAACAAAAATCAACAGTCTTCGCAGGCGCCTCTGCGACGTAGGTTATCTTTCTCGGGTTAAATAAGGTTTTAACCGTTTGGCTGCTGATGTATTTTTTCATAATAAGAAGAGCGACATAAGAAGAGCGCGATAGCGTTCTTCAGCACAGTCAAACGGTTAAATAAGATTCGCTAGCAACATAATTCCTTTAACGTTCGGTATGCTTTGTACGTGAATGAGTAAATTGTAATTACGTCTGAAAGTAGTTACTGAAAAGTCGTTGAAAGAACCTTGGCTGAACCGTTAGACAGTGCATTGTATATGTAGTTCGCTATGGAAAGATTCTAACGAACAATTTGTTAAAAAATTCGTTTCAAACAATTTCCGTGAAACTGAAACCCTTCTTACTTTCGCCGAAGCGATAATAAAGAAGAAAATAGGAGGGGTGTATCGAAATCTCTGTTGCTAGGAAATTTAACAAGTAAAAAACATTCCATTTGTTATTGCCAATATAGAGATAATTCTCGCTGTTTTCGTCATAGGGTGCGATATAAAATCGCGCACGAATTAGCTTCCGTAGAAAGAGCTCTTGTGACATAACAGATACAATATGTGAAGTTTTATAGTTTTATAGTGACAAATATTTTACGTTTTATGTTTCGATATTGAATGTAGCAACAAATAATTCGTGCCGCTACTACCGTAAAGAACAATGTAAATTCCGGCACGAATTTTCTACTCTCTTTAATCGGTCAAAATAATCCGCAGATGGCAAAACGCTGAACCAATAATTTGAGCGTTTTGCCACAATGTTTAATGGCGTTGCGGTTTTAATATTTTCAAGAGCAGTTGATTCGTGCCGGATTTCACATTATATGTTACGACGAAAGCGGCATGAATCATCTGTTCTGTGTGATTGCAATAATAAATTAGCATTTTTATGTATGACAGGGATGCGGATATATATATAAATATATATAATATATAATAATATATATAATATATATATATATATAATATTCTCAAAATATTGTATTGACCCCTGAATTGGCAAATTTCTTACTATTTTCTGCACACATAATTTCCATAGGGTAAGCATCATTTGTAACTGCAATAAATATTCTATTTTCTTTATATTTGTATGTTCGTAGCATCAGACTCAATCAACAGTATTATACAAAGAGGATGTCATGTCGCAATGAAACTTAATTCTTTAGACATTTCTAAAACATGAACATTTATATTATGTTTTATATTACGTTAATGCATATAATGTCGCCTTTCAGGTCAGACAAATTCCGAATGTTTTCAGTAACGTTTTCAAGCAACGCATAAAAGACGAACGTAATAATTCATAATAATGCACGAAAAATGCATCGACCGAGCTCAAATAAATAAATCAATTGTTGCTAAACTGTTCGAATACATTTACAGGGAGGAAAACGACGTTATCTTTTTCCATTTTCTTTCTCATTGTTTAATAACAGTACTACGCAGCACAAATCTATCCAAAATCAATACGAAGACATTTTGAAACGGTGACCTAGTTACGTATGTCTGTCATCGGACTTCAACCGATGCTATAAGCCTTGCACCTTGCACTACAAGATAAAGTCTAAATACAACAGCATATTGTTTCTGCTTGAATCAAAACGTTCGCAACGTTCCGGATTTTTGTACACGGATAGTATAAATTGATCTTAACCCCTTGCGCTCGAGTGGTGACTCCGAGGCACCACTAAAAAATGTTTATATCACATTCCAAAATAATTCTTACGTCAAGAAAATTTAGATTTGAAAAATTGTTAAAACTATAACTGTTGTATACGTCACAAGACTCAATTTCACACGCATAAAATGCGCTGTCATATAAAATAGGGACAGCGTAGGTCCGAAAAATCATTTTAGATTTACAGTTAAAATGGCTTCGAGTGCAAAGGGTTAATATATTATAATAAGGGTTAATTATTATAATAATCAATGGTCTCTGCGAAGAAGGCTTTACATCGCACTTGCTGCAATTTGTACAGAGTCGTGGCGACAGACCAAACCACCACTAAAATTTGTTACATCACGTTTTAAGATAATTTTTATATTAACAAAGTTTAAATTTAAAAAATTGTTAAGAGCATAGCCGTTGCGCGAGTCCCAAGAATCAATTTCATATGCATAGAATGCATTTTATCATATAAAGTAAAAAATACAACAAAATACAGAAAATACAGAAAAATGATTTTATATTTACAGTTAAAATAGCTTCGAGTGCAAAGGGTTAAGACACGAGCGTTGGGGATCATGCATCGTGCATTCATGGTCTCGGGGAACGAGGTTTCAGAAAGAGTTCATGCTCGCGTGACACATTGCGTCAGCGAAGCACGGGAACATCAGCAGACGAGACCGTTCAGATTTGTAACTGCGAGGGGTTTCATCGACTTTTCGTTTAGCAGATTTAAGAAAATCTGTTTACGAACGTTAAGCGAGGTTTGCCCAAAGCATTTAATAAGAGACTTACTCGTGGTCGCCGGCGTGAACGTGGTGCTATTGATCCAGAGTTTCGGGATCTCGTTGTGGCTCGCGTTCACTTTGAACGTCGACAGTGTTCCTACCTGATCGAACGAGGCAAAATCGAACTCGGTCAGGTCGTTGTAAGCGAGATCCAGGAACTTCAGATCCGGAAGATTCTGGAACGCGATTAATTTGAAACGATGAAATCTTCGTTGCTCTTTCGTTCATTGTTACCGAGCTTGAAGTGATTCTAAAATTACAGGATACAGTAATGTCTCCCTTATTGACGCTCAGATTGTGCACAAAAATGGACAATTTTGGAAGAGGAGACACGACTATTCGAGCCTTGCAACTCGTTTTTATAGTTGTTGACAATCGATAGCCATGAAAAACGAGCCACAAGGCTCGAACAATCGTATCTCTTCTTCCCAAATTGTCCATTTTCGTGTATAATCTGAGCGTCAGTAAGGGAGACATTACTGTACTTATTATACGTTTCTAAAGTTCTAGCTATTCTATATAACGATCGATTACCATGTTTATAAATAATAATATTTTTCAGTGAAACGTTAAGGAGACCCAGTTAAAAATATGCATCAATTGCAAGGAATAGAAACGAAGTAGCAAGTTCATATTTCTCCAAAACCATCTTGATAGATTAAAAATAATACATTGGCATTTCAAATTGTTTTTAATCTTTATGCTATTTTAAATTTCTCAATTTTTTCACAAGTGCATGAAATTCACAATCTATTAATTACGCTACTTACAGAATGAATCAATTAATTAGACTACTTACGCTACTTACAGCTAGGTACAGTAATGTCTCCCTTATTGACGCTCAGATTGTGCACAAAAATGGACAATTTGGGTAGAGGAGACACGACTATTCGAGCCTTGCAGCTCGTTTTTATAGTTGTTGACAATCGATAGCCATGAAAAACGAGCCACAAGGCTGGAACAATCGTATCTCCTTTTCCGAAATTGTCCATTTTTGTGGACAATCTGAGCGTCAATTAGGGAGACATTACTGTAGTACACGAGGCTTTGTTTTTTTAGAAAACGTTGACACGATGCAATCGCATCTATCGCACTATCGTTTCCTAAATCGCGAAGCTGATTAATTCAGCTCCCATGCGTTATCATTGAAATTGTAATTTCACAGTTGCTTCGCCGTGACATTAATAATCAATTCATTGTCCGCGTTGGGAATATCGATCTCGATTTAACACTAAACCTACCAAGCAATAATACTAACTGGCATGTACCGCTTCACAAAAGTGAGAAGACCGAATTTATTTAGAATTTGTAAAGTTTTTATTATAAAACTTGCTCCAACAATATAACTTATTCAACCGTTTTCCACGAAAGAGTCTCGGAACTTTGCAGAATTGCAAAATAAGAAAGCGGTCACTTTGACCGCGGTAGGTTTAGTGTTCATAGAAATAGAAACTGGAATATTACCTGGAAAGCCTCGTCGGTGATGTCCTTTATCTTGTTCCCCCGTAAATTAATATACTTCAGCAGCTTCATGTTCATGAACCCCCGTCTCTCTATTCTCTCCACGGCGTTGTCCTCTAAATTAATCGTTATCAATCGCGGCAGATCGACGAACGTGTGTGTTTGGATCGTCTTGATTTTGTTGAACGCGAAATTCACGTCTTCGAGAGTCGAGTGTATGTCACCCTGGGCACGCGAGTACCATTTATTTTATAGTGGATAAACAACGGTGCAGGTCCGACGAAGAATCGCCTGTGAACTTACCTGGAACGTTCCTTTTTTGATGCTGTCGATTTCGTTGTCCTGCAACTCGATCCGCTTGATCCTCTTCATGAAATGGAACGACGTGTCCGGCATGCTTTTGATCTTGTTGTTGCTAAAGTCGAGGTGTTGCAGATTCGTCAGGAATTTGAAGGGCGCGTTTGGTAGCTCGGAGAAAGACGAAGCCAAACCGTGCGACATCCTCAACGTCAGAAGCGAATGACTTGCCTGAAATATACGAGAATAATATCATGTACTAAATCGGAAAAGGAACTCGAAAATCTTCGAAATAATTTAACTTAAAATAAATTCCATAGATTACGTAACCGTGGATCGCTAAAACTTAATTTAAATTGAAAAATTGATGAAAAGACTCCTCAGTTGCGAATTGGACATCTAAATTGAAGAATTGATGAAAAGACTCCTCAGTTGCGAATTGGAAATTTAAATTGAAAAATTGATGGAAAGACTCCTCAGTTGCGAATTGGAAATTTAAATTGAAAAATTGATGAAAAGACTCCTCAGTTGCGAATTGGAAATTTAAATTGAAAAATTGATGAAAAGACTCCTCAGTTGCGAACTGGAAATTTAAATTGAAAAATTGATGAAAAGACTCCTCAGTTGCGAATTGGAAATTTAAATTGAAAAATTGATGAAAAGACTCCTCAGTTGCGAATTGGAAATTTAAATTGAAAAATTGATGAAAAGACTCCTCAGTTGCGAATTGGAAATTTAAATTGAAAAATTGATGAAAAGACTCCTCAGTTGCGAATTGGAAATTTAAATTGAAAAATTGATGAAAAGACTCCTCAGTTGCGAATTGGAAATTTAAATTGAAAAATTGATGAAAAGACTCCTCAGTTGCGAATTGGAAATTTAAATTGAAAAATTGATGGAAAGACTCCTCAGTTGCGAATTGGAAATTTAAATTGAAAAATTGATGAAAAGACTCCTCAGTTGCGAATTGGAAATTTAAATTGAAAAATTGATGAAAAGACTCCTCAGTTGCGAATTGGAAATTTAAATTGAAAAATTGATGGAAAGACTCCTCAGTTGCGAATTGGAAATTTGAAAAATCTATGAAATAATTGCCAATTGATGTTAACACTTGTCACATCTAATTACAGATATTCAAATCCGTCCGAACGAGCGATGCACAATGTTTGAATTGTTGCGACTGATTCGTCGAACTTCAAACTGCAGAGCCAATGATAAGGAAGCAAGATAAAAACGATGATAGGGTATATTCGTAGATTTTTAGGTCAAGTATTCATTAGTCGGAAGACTTCTACATAGAAGCCCGTTTTATTCGGGTTCTAAGCGACTATCATGGCCTCTGTGTGTATCGTTCGAATCTAGTTTAATTAAATATTAGGCCCAATTACTAATTCTTATTGATCGCGGGTATTGGGGTCTTGTAGGGTTGCCTCTTCGAAACGGTACAAATTTCGTGTCATTGATACCGGATTATCTCGTTGAGAATGTTGATCCACTGAACAATTGGGACAGCTTCGCTCTGCACATTTGTGCACAGATTATACCATTTTGTACGAACAACGTGTACAGAATAGAAGCATTTCGCGTTGAAAAGAATCCCTTTTTAGAAATCTATTCCGTGCATATAGCGTATGCCAGACTGCAAAATTCTGATTTTACTTAAGCCTCGTAGACCTAATTCCTCGAAAATCAAGGTCTTAAACAATTCACGCCACTGAACAAATGGGACGGCTTCAACAACGTGAACAGAATAGAATCATATTGCGTTGAAAAAGATTCCATTTTAGAAATCTATTCCGTGCACCGAACAGCACTCGGCATGTAGCGTATGCCAGACTGCAAAATTCTGATTTTACTTAAGCCTCGGAGACCTAATTCCTCGAAAATCAAGGTCTTGTCCCAGATAATTCAGCTTTGTTACAAAAAACTGAAGCATTTGTATGTAAGAAGATTAATATATTTAACACCAGTTAAATACACACTTCATTTTGTTATTCGAATTACGAAAGTGTATTTATTCAAATTTCAATAATCGACGCTCAGATTGTGCACAAAAATGGACAATTTGGGAAGAGGAGATACGATTGTTCGAGTCTCGCGGCTCGTTTTTATAATTACCGATTATCAAGAATTATAAAAAACGATCAGCGAGACTCGAATAATCGTCCATAATCGTTCAATAATCGTTCCAAATTGTTCACTTTTGTAAACAATTTGAGCATCGATTAGAGAGAATTTACTGTAAATGGTACGAGCAGTAAACAACGTACCTTTAATCATTAATAATTATATTTTTAATAATTGTAAAACGAAAGGTCCGGAATGACTAATTTTGACTGGTTCGACGATCGCAGTGTCGATCCCGGAGATTCTGATCAATATGAACGATTAAATGTACTCACCTCTGAAAATGCCTCGTTCTCGATCGAGGTAATAGAGTTTTCCGAGAAGTCCATATACTTGATCCCACGAACGTGCATAAAAGCGTGGCTCTTGATAGTGTTCAGGTTGCTGTTCACGATACGCAGCTCCTTGATATCCATTCCGTACTCCATGAAATCCTCCGGGGACAATGTCGACTGCGGCATCTTCGAGATCGACAAGAAACGCATGTTCCGCATCTGTCGCAGATCCTGCAGAGACACCACAGTGTTCTCTAGGCCGCTCAGGTCCAGATTATATAAAGAATATTGGAAACCATTGAAGACCTCGGCTATCGACAGAAACCAGAACAAGCTATTTAACTCGCTGAGAAAGAATATGGAAGCGATCGTTATCCCTCGTCCCTTCCCGATCTTAGCAGCTCGATTTTTCCTTTAAAAAAAAGGACGTTTCCTTTACGCTAAAACATTGGTTTTACAACGGAGCGATTTAATTTTACAACAGGGTAATGTTTAAGTCGCCTCATTGAAAATGAGGAGATCGAAACGAGATGAAACAAAGTTGGGACAAGATCGATATTATAACGGAAAGATATAATTTTATTGTAGACGAATTTCTGAAACGTTCCATTGAAAATGGGAGATCGAAGCGAAACGAAACGAAACTGGAGCAACAGAGGATTTGTTTGCGTTCAAAGAAATCTCGAAATAGAGATTTATGTATCGTCCGCGTATTTGTCCGCGCTGTTTTGCAAATAATGACGACGCGCGGAGTGGATTGTTCTTCGAAGAGCAGGAAAAAAAAGTGAGAGGCGAGAGGAAAAACTATGGGAGACGAACGAGGAATTGAAGGAGCAAAGAATGCGAGCACGAGTAAAAACAAATTGGTTATTTTACCAGGCTGAATAGTCTGGATCTTGTTCTCCCGGAAGATTAGGGTTCGAAGAAAATCGTATTCCTGGAATATAGGACTTGGCAGGGTGGTGATGTTGTTTCCAGACAGATCCAACAACTCCAGGGATGACTCCAGGCCAACGAAATTCAGCGAACTTACTTCCATGAGGTCGCAATCGCAGAAGTAAAGTTCCCGTATCTTGGAATCACGGAATGTTCCCTCCTGGAAGAGCAAGTCTCATGTTTGATCATTTCTACGAACGATTTATTTTATTTATTTTTTGATCTATTGCACTTTCCGATGCTGTTTTCTAGTTGATTTGTATTTATAACATCGGACGAGAGAACTGTGCACAGCAAGTATTTGAACTAATTTGAAGATGGACGTATATTTGAAAAGCAAAATATTTTTCCCACGAGCTACTTGCTGCGACAGATATAGATCATTCATTTATCAATTTATTTATTAAACCTGATTTCACACGAGGAGAAAATTGCGTTCAAAATGAAACGCGCTTTCGAATAACACACACTTTACTAAAGTTCGGACGGCTTGAAACCGTTCACGGTTAATTTAGCATAACCATGGCACAGACAGGTTTATTGAAAGTTCAACTCCGCGCCCACGAAGATTTTTAAAAATATTAAAAACTTTCTCTTCGGCCATCTATATTGCGTACCGAAGTTTCGAACGCTGTGGAACGAAGCTGTGCCGATCTTGTGCTACGTAAACAATTAAATAATCTGTGCGAAGCTACAAGAACTAGATACAATAAGTTTGATGTTACAGTAACGTCTCCCTAATTGACGCTTGGATTGTCCAGAAAAATGGACAATTTGGGAAGAGGGGATACGATTATTCGTGTCTCGCGATTCATTTTTATAGTTACGAAGTGTCAACAACTATAAAAAAAACGAGCTAGAAGGCTCTAATAATCGTACTTTCTCTTCCCTAATTGTCCATTTTTCTGGACAATCCGAGCGTCAATTAGGGAGACATTACTGTATTAACATGCAGACATTCGTCCTAAAAGTGTTATAATTATTATAATTTAATTTATTATTATAATTATAATTATTATAAATTATAATATATAATTATATATTAATTATATATTAATAATAATTATATATATAATATATAATAATAAATATACATAAAATTAATATATAATAATATATAATAATATATATAATATATAATTATAATTATTATAAATTTATTATTATAAATATTATTTAATTTATTATTATAATTTATAATAATAAGTGTTATAATAATAATTTATCGAAATATTCGAAGAGCCCACCTCTACTATGCTCAAAGGATTGCCGTCGAGATAAGTCTTGTTGACTTTGTAAAAATGCTGAAAGTCTCTAGGCATCAGTATCTCGATCTGATTGTAGTCGAGCCGCAGCGTGTCCAAGGACATCTGCAGTCCCCTGATCTCGGGTTCCTGTTGCGTGTTCAGCATCCTCGATATCCTGTTGAAGCTCAGATCGAGGACCTTCATCTGCTTCAGCGCCGACAGTTGTGAATACGGAATGTGTGTCAGTTGATTGCCGTTCAGGTAAAGATAAACCAGGTGGGCCATGCCGTCCCTGAACACCGAAGGATCGATTTCTTTCAGGTTATTGTCCCGCAGATCCAGCATGTCCAAGTATGTGAGACCGGCGAACGCGTCCGCCGGAAGTCGATCGATCGCATTGCGCCCGAGGTGCAGCTTCTGCAGAGAATTCTCCAGACCGCGCCAATTGTCAGCGGCTATTTTCGATATCTTGTTGCCTGTTCGGGAAACACGAATTTATGGAATATGGAATGAAATATAAGGATGTCCTCGTTCGCGTCGATTCTTCCTCGTATCTTCCCTTTCCCGTCCTCGCGATTTCGTCGATTCGACGGGCTGCCGTTTCTCGCGAAATAATAACCAGGCAAGTCAGAAACCATGTGAATCGCCCGTAAAGTAATTATTCGAAGCGTTAGATATACAAAAATGTCTCGCAATCCGAAAGTAGGGGATTCCTGAAATGATTTGAAGCAACTTTTTCCTTAGCGAAAATGCAATACGCGGCTTCGTTTACGCGTTATTAACGAAAAACAGTGACCAATCGGAGGCGAGTTCATTTGGCGCGAGACGGCCGAGCCAATGAGCGGAACTGGGCACCGTGCACTCGTTGGCTGGGCCGCCGCGCGCCAGCCGAGCTCGCCTCTTATTGGTAAGCGTTTTTCGTTAATAACTCGTAAACGAAACCTCGGAGAAAATTTTCGCAAAGGAAAAAGTTGCTTCGAATGACCTCAGGAACCTCCCATTTCCGGATTGCGATACATTTTCGGGACATCCTGTATATACAGTAATGTCTCCCTTACTAACGCTCAGGTTGTCCACAAAAATGGACAATTTTGTAAGAGAAGATACGATTGTTCGAGCCTTGTTGCTCGTTTTTTTATGCTTATCGATTGTCAACAACTATAAAAACGAGTCGCAAGGTTCGAATAATCGTATCTCCTCTTCCCAAATTGTCCATTTCTGTACACAACCTGAGCGTCAGTAAGGGAGACATTATTTTCGAGCAGATCGAATCGAACAGAACGATTCGATAAAAATGCAGTAGAAAAATCTGGGCGATGTCTCGAATCGATTGTACCTTCTCGTGTTTGGAAAGGTGAGAAATCGATATTGTTGATCGACGAAAGGGAATTTTCAAGTTTAGACTCGCGGTTGAATTGCCTCTTCGTGGTCGGTCGTGCCCGGGAACAATGTCGAAGATATCGGAAAAAGAAGTATACCTGTGAGATCCAGAAGTTGTAACTTTTGCAAATGCCTGAACGATCTGCTGGGTACTCTCTCGAGGCGATTGTAGGGTAATTCGAGCTCCCATAACGATCTCTCAAGCCCTAGGAAAGCTTCGTCCGGGATGTCGGCCAGGGGATTATGCTTGATCCGTAGGCTGTATAGGCCTGAGAGATAGAGAAATGGCAAGTAGTATGAAAATGGCACTATCGTATATCGTTTACCAATAACCTAAGGCGATGACGCAATTACTCGCGACGGCTGGTCGATGGCCTTTAACCCTTGCACCCTCTATATGTATATCATTAAACCGAAGGATAAACGAAACTTGGGGCCATGCGCACGTGACTCGACGATGAATTGACTTATTTTTTTAATGCTCTTTTTAGGAAAATATTATAAATTATACCGATCGTAAGTCGATCGAGTGCAGGTGCAACTTGCCTCCGTACCTGTGTTCATGAGAAATTGCGGCTGCAGGAACATCAGGCCATTGTTCTCTAACTGAAGCATGAACACCTTCGAAGAGTTGATCGGCTGGGGTATCCGCGGCATTGGCACGTCGTAACAGGTGACTATGCCGAGATCGGGGATTGCTTTCGAACAGGTGCAAAGGGGGTTAAAGAAGCACGGCGGATACTGTACGGGCAGCTCGTGCATCCGGACGACGGACGCCCACATCATCAACAACAGAGTGACGAAGACAAGAACGTAACCCACTTTCACCATTATTAACAAATTCTGTGGATCAGTCGGTGTTTATTATTCATTAATGGTTGGTTGTTATTCGGATCGGATTTACGCTTTGTTAATGTTTAAGGCAATTCTAAACGGCGAACACGTGTTCTTAGAATCTTGTTTTGTTGATCGGAGTCTTATCGAACGCCTGTATTTTCAAGCTAACACGTTCACTGCCGAACTAACATCTCGAAAGAATGTTACAGAATCGAATAATTTAGTTGACGAAACCACAAATGAAAACTAAAAACTCAACGCAGCGGTTACTCTGCGGTCGGTCTGCTTAGGTCCTGGAAATTAAAATGAACTTTTGAAAATGAAGTTACAAATTAATTTTTAAAGGTGTTAAAAATTATAATAATAAATAATAATATAATAATTATAATATTATAATTATTACTTATAATAATATGTTAATAATAATAATAATAAATAATAATATAATAATTATAATATTACAATTATTATTTATAATTTTTAAGGAATATATTAGAAATTAAGCTTTAAAAAAAGATGTGAAAGAAAAACTTTTATAAAAGCCTGCCGCTATTTTATATTATAATATCGTTAAAAATGTGGTTCGCGGTGAAATCATTGAATTTCGAATACGATTTTGAACGATCGAAGAGATATTTTCACCGTTCCTTTGATGTTACTTTTACGTTTTTAATTGTTCAACTGAGAAACACAATTTCTCTATGAAAATGAGCTCAAACTTGCGTGCTACGAATGGTATGCCGACGGTAAGCCAATTATCCGCCGCCATCTTGTAATTTTCCCGGTACACGTGTTAGAACATTATGGAAAGTTCGTTCATCTTGCGCTATGTTTCATTGCATCTTTATAATTGAAAAAATGTACAACTTGATTAATTTTTCTATCGACGAATCACTGCCAATGTGTTACGAATGGACTGCGAATCTTTATGCAAAATAAAAAGTTTCGATGTTAACCGTAGGAAACAGAAGTTAGATAAAAATGTATTTCTTCATTTAATCAACGATAATATTTAATGCAACGAATAACGGTATTCTTAAATTATTTTAAAGCGTTTATATTCATTTTTGCTATAAATGCGTAAAATCCGTTGAAATGGAATTAATTAATTCTTTAAATATGCTATTGAAAATCAATGTGGCGCAGGTGTATTTAAATGATGATTAATTATAGATTTTATCACAGGGATTGTAATATGATGTGTGATTTAAACGGTTCGATAAAGGCGAGGATTGTTAGTAGACACTGCTCGACACCGAATTCTGTACAAAAACGGGCCCCCGTAACGGCGTTTACTGAAATTCGTAACATTATTCATCGGTCGGGTGAAAGTATCGATCCGATTTTGAATTAAATTTCTGAATTATTCTAATTTAGATTATTGATCACAACACTACCAGATCACTTTTCAATATTGCTACACTTCTTCGATATTTATACGTGATGTTACGTTTAATTTAGGATATAAGCGAACTCTGTGCTCGGTTCTATCGATTCCTCCGAATTGTTTAAAAGAGATAATAATTCGCAAACTGAGCAACTAACACGGTAGGTTGTGCAAAGATAATTAAATAGAACAATATGCGGGAACTCGACACCATAGCGGTTTGTTAAGATTCTCCTTGAACACACCGCGGCTCAAATAAACATGCAACGTTGATTAACATTCGGCATTAATTATCGATATACAACGATCAATGAAACTCAATGCGTCACACATTCTTTTTTTATTTTCTCTAAAAATCCAATGTATTACTTCTTCACTATCCTTTGCACATCCACAATGTTAACGATCGTCAGTCTCATTTACCATATTTTCTCATGGAGCGAAAGAGCACGTATCAATTGGAGCTAGCGATCATGCGACCGTCGCGGTTCGATCGCGATGATCGCACTGAGGGATCTTCGAACCAAGTGGCCGCTGGTAGCCTGTATAATAGGGCTTCGGGAGTGCCGGGCAGTTTCGGTGCTTCTCTTTACCCAATTATAAGGACGATATTCCATTAGGCAACGAATAGAAAATAGACGGGAGAATCATTAGCGAATGCTCATTTTGTCGATTTAGTTTATTAAGAAGTCTATTCAGGCGATAATGATGTCGAGACGGTGTGGTGTGCGACACAAAAGTTTTCGTGATTTCGATCAATTGTGTACATTAATTAATCCCACATCATGGCTGTCGTCAACGTGAATCGATACGAAAATTATGGATCATTTACCTGTGAACTAAATATATTTTAGATGTTTATCCATTGTCTACTTTAGAAATTACAAATATTTTGTGATGTTTAAGTGTGATGGATATACGTCGATGGTTAAGGGGTTGAAAGGTGATATAATTTAACCCTTTGCGCTCGAATGGTGACTCTGAGACACCACTAAAATTTGTTATATCACGCTTTAAGATAACTTTTATACTAAAAAAAGTTTAGTTTTAAAAAATTGTTAAAAGTGTAACCGTTGTGCGATTATATAATATATATAATAATTATAATATATAATAGAATTATAATATAATATAAATATATAATATAATATATATAATATAATTATATATATATATATATATATATATATATATATATATATAATATAATATATATAATATAATTATATAATATAATATATATAATATAATTATATATAATATAATATATATAATATAATTATAATATAATATAAATAGAATATAAAATAGAAATACTATAAGTTAGAAAAATGATTTTATATTTAGAGTTAAAACAGCTTCGAGTGCAAAGGGTTAACACACTGGCTTACACGTTAAATATTTCTTTATAGGAAAAGATTGAGATACGGTTGATATCAATAATAATTTAATTTAAGGAAATACTTGTTCGTATATACTTCAAACAGAACTACATCAAATTGTATTTGAATTCAGAATCTTATTTTTCATACGACGACACACACAGTCGGAACATAACTTTACTCATTGATATTTTCACATCTATACAGGGTGTTCCAGGTTTTAATGTTCAAACTTTGTTAGTGTATTCTATGGCACAAAGTAAGAAAAAAATGTTATGTAAACATAGGTCATATAGAGCTTTATTAAGAAGTTATAACAAAAATTCAGAGTAGGAATAGTAATTGCGTTAGAATAGTGAAGCATTGACTTGAATAGATCAGCACATGCCGTATGTTTATGTAAGCTGTGTTAATTAATACATTTCGAAATGTGTATTAATAACCGTTGTTGACAATACATGATTGACACCGATCGAAGATATTTTTTTATTTTCTATTTTTTTTTTAGTTGATTACTATTCCTATTCTGAATTTTTGTTATAACTTCTTAATAAAGCTCTATATGACCTATGTTTACATAACATTTTTTTCTTACTTTGTGCCACAGAATATACTGTCAAAGTTTGAACATTAAAATCTGGGACACCCTGTATATTAGATTTATTGGCTGCTACGTGTCGCGGAAAATAATTATAATAAAATATATACTGTACCATCTTAGAAATTCCTGGGTATGTGACGTACATTGTAAGAATGTACGTCATCGGTATCAATACTTACGTAATGAATCCGGAGTGTTGAGCATTCCAATGCAGTAATTCAGTAATTGGATGCGGTCTCCATGAAAAGTTCACGCGGCTGGGAATCGGTAAATGAATACTCTGACACGTGTAAAATGAATAGTAGTATTATTGTGTTTACTAAAAGTATAAAACTGTAAAATCGTAAGTGAAACTGTTCGAATCGAAACCCGCGTAATGTTACAATCTATTAATTCTATCCTTAGTTGAACATTGCAAACGGGAAGGAGAGACGGGCCAAAAAAAATGGAACACGACGAATGTTAAAGAATGCTACCATCTATTCGTGAAAATAAGAAAGAACCCGCAAAACATTGTACCGGTGTCTTGAACGGTCGAACGAGAAAACATCTCGATGTTTCTCCAACGTGTATGCGCAAGACAGACATAAATATATAAAATACTCACTCATATTATATAAAACAATTAGACTCTTTACACTCCCGACATAGACTTTGTACCAGTAACACGTTATAACAATAAATATATTGTACGTATAATATATGTATATATGTATATGTATAAACGTACACATGTACAGACAATGATGCGTACATATGCATGTGTACGTGTGCGTCAAAACATTCATAAAAAATATGTTTCTCTTGTGATCGTCGAGTTTCGATCGAAAATCGAAAACACGACTACATGGCTTTTCGCGCGGTCCCATTAATTAATTCCTGAGTAGCGTTGCCACCTTTGTCGACTGACTTGTTCTGCGCTGGAACCTTCGGAAGACGAGGCGCGACGAACATTATAGCGAGACCCACTATATGCGGTATTAGATATAAATACCTGGGGGGAAAGAATACAACAGATATTTTATTCACGCTGTAATAAACGATGTTTCGGATACTTTTCGATATAACACAATCGCGAGACGGTCGATTGGTATTTCTGGGGTACTTACAGGTACATTCGGATACTTGGTGTAAACTCCAAGAGTATAAAGCTCATTGTCATATAGGCCATTAAGATTCGTGTTGCAGTGAACGTAAGCGCATCGTAGAGGAACTTTTTACCTTTAGACCCCAGAAAGTGCGGTCGAATGTTACGACGACCCTGTTTCAACAAAAATAATAATATTAATAATAACATATAATAATATATCATAATATTATATTTTATAGAAGA